CTCAATCCAGTCCCGGTTTCTGTGTTTTTCATAAACATGAGCCTGAGGCAAACAATACTTAGCCTTTCTCTGACGGCAGATTAGCTGTATCGGAGCTGGGAAAGCTGTAGCCTAAGATTATTCAAGTGAAACGAAGACAAGAACCTCTACTGCAGCACGTCTCCTGAAGCCTCCCCAAGCAGGAAATGATCCCTTATAAGTAAAGCAGCCATGCTGGACAGGAAATCGCAAAAAATCTAATTTCCAGTTTTCATTCTAGAAAAATTTAGATTGTGAAAAAATTGCTCACAGAATTTGGCCGAGGTTCAGTTTAGCAATGAAATACAGCTCTGCTTCTCAACTGCTTTTCAATCTACAATGCCCAAAAATGGTCAAGGTCTCCGTTCTAAATCCCAATGAACATAGCACCTTAGCACCCCCTCGCACCATACTGGCTCATTGACTTAGTGCCACCAGTTGAAACCCAGTGCCATTATGGCAGAGCCCTGGGGTTTTCCTTGAAGGCCTCCCATCCCAGAGCTGACCTGGCCTGACCTGGCTTAGTTTATAAAATCTGAGAAAATTCACTGATCAATGTGAGGTAGCTGGATCCCAAAGCAGGCATCTTGTGAAATAAAGTTTCTCCAATCTGCAGATGGCTCAGGTGCACATCTCATTAGCAGAAAGGGAAGATGTGAATATTCTTTTATTTATTTCTATTTTCAACTTCCACAATAGCAAACAGTAGAAGAATGGCAATTACCAAACGAGGGCTGTCACAATGTACGTTACACATCCCCAGACATTAAAATAGATCATTCATGAATGAAACATAAATTGCACAGCCTGGCAAATACAGAATTTGAGCCTTCCCACTGCAGGAGCAGAGCATGGTAGCAAGAGAGCAAAGCTACCTTTAAGTGTCCTCTTTTCAAACCCTTTTAAACACTCCTTTGCTGGGGTGACAATGGGTAGGGTGCTAATATGCTGAGATTCCTACATATATTGTTGCACCATTTCCTCCTCGTCTCTTTACTTTTGCCTACCTGTTGTCTCTTGTCCTATCCTGAGACTGGAAGTCGCATGGAGTCAGGAACAACTTTTGGTTCCATGTATGTGCCATACCTAGCATAAAGGGATCCATGAGCGAGGTTACGAGGCACTCTTTCAATATAAACGGCATTGGAAGGAGAATTGCAGCGTCTAGAGGCAGTAAAATCAGGGTCCCATTGTGCTACTCTCCAAACAGAGAGCTGGAAGGGTCCTTGAGAGATCATCCAACGCATCACTCTACCCCAAGGCAGGACAAACTGTGTCTAAGACACATCTGACAGAGGTATGTCTAACCTGTTCTGAAACTGCGAATAAAGAGATTTCCCAGCCAGGGTTTAACTATCCTTCAGTTAGAGAGTTTTTCCTTACATCTAACCTCAGTCCTTTATACAGAGAGCTAGCCCCTCCCTCTGAGCCGTCACTGCCTATGCAGAATTGAAGTGATTTGACCAATATTTTGCAGCAAATCAGTGGCAGAGCTAGGAATAAAGCTCAAGTCTTCTTGTTCCCAGACCAGTGTCCTAACCACTGGACCATAAACACCCCTCACTCTGGTACTCATCACAGTGACAGACGGCTGAACCTGGCCCCATATTCCCTCTGGGCTGTGATCACCCTGCCACATTTTTCTGCCCAAAGCTGTGGGCAATTTACTACTGTGTACCTTTCAAATGCCAACGGTACAACTCTAAGCTATATATTACGAATATGGTGAAGATCCTGACCTGTATGTTACAGCAACATCATATATCAAAAGATTTTATTATTGCCCTGGAGTTGACATCCATGTCTATGCTTTGAAGGGAGAAAGTCTTAGAAGCATTCATTTAAAAGCATTTTTTGTAGTTGGGAGGTTCTTTGTTAGAAGCAGCAGTGCAGTTCTTGCCATCTATTTTTTAATCCCCTCTTCAAGCAGTGTCCCCTTTAAGTGAGCCTCTACTGTTTCCAGGTAAGGAGTGGTACGACAGTGCAGCGAGCTCCTTATGTATTCACTGCATGCCTGACTGCAGAACCAATTGTAAGTCGCTGCCTCTCTCTCTCTCTTTTTTTTCCTGTTAAATAGAGGTTTACCACAAACTGTGAAAATGGATGCTTCGTATTTCGATTGAAAAGGGTAAAGCAAACACAACCTTTTCCTCAATGCATGCAGTCTTACCTCCGCTGTCTGAAATCATGCTAAACACTCTGAAATGTGTGGAATGTCTCATGCCTGCAGTGAGCTTGATTTGAGTCAGGTCTGTGCATGTAACTAAAATTGGTGTTTTTTGCAAAATCTCCCCCCCCAACCTTAGAAACCTCAATTAGCATGAAGTAGACCAAAGGATGGGGGCTTTGTTTGCTTATAACTGAAACGATTTGGGAATGCATGAAATGGTAAGAAAATAGAGAGAACCAGGCGGCATGATTTAAAAGATGCTAAGCTCAGATGACACCATAGCAATGTCCGATAAGCACTAGCAGTTGTTGTTTTGATTTGGAGGCAGAGAGATGAACCTGGATCTCAAGTGAAATAAAAAAGCACCATGCTAAGAAATAATAATAATAGAAAAAAATCTCTGTGCTGTTAAATTAACCTAGTTATTTTATGGAGAGAGGGAAAATGATGCTATTGAGAAACATCCAGCTTTGCTTGTTCGGTTGGCTGTTTTGTTTCCCAGATGAAATTTGGTCCAATAAGACGCCTGTCGTTTTTTGCAGCAATAAATGAATTGTGTTCATAGGTTTTTATTACGATTCTTCTAAGTAGCTAGGAGGATCGGATCCTTTAGGTCCTCCATGCATTAACTGGGGAGGGAGAGAGCGAGAAGAGGGGGAGAAAAATGGGACAAATTATAACCTTCTCCTATTTGGGCCTGATAAAAAAGGGTTAAGTGAAGCAGTAGAATGCTGCAAGCCTTGTCAGGATTGTACTATTTTTTCTAGTGCATAAGGAGAAGGGAGAGGAGGATTCAACAGAAAGGGGAAATTTCAAACAAGAGGGGGATCTGAACCAAATTCTCTGAGGTTAATGATGAAGTGGGAGACCAGGAGATGTTACTGCCCAGACATAGGTAGAAATCTCTGCCTGGGAAACTAAGAGCTATGGGTTATATTCTGCTTGACTCCCCTACCTGGTTCTGTAATCCTGGCTCAGAGGAGAGAAGCCAGCGGCTGTCTGCAGCTAAAGGAAGGAGGTTAGAAATTCTCTCTTTGAGAGGGAAAATGGTTGGTTGGACTTCTCCGCAATAAGAAACACCATCCTCCCAAGAAATGTCCTGGCCATCTGTGACTGTCTAGTTTGGCTAAGTGAGATGGAAGAAGTTGATGGCACAATGTTGTGCCAGGATCTTGAGTGTGAAAGTCTCAGGGAGAATTTCTGGCTGCAAAAGTTGAACTCGCTTGGGGTTTTCTGCAGGCTGCTGGGAAAGTGGAGCTCAGGGAAAGCCGCTGAGCGCTTTCCCCAGCTGTCCCCTACTGCCTCCGTGGAGCTGTTAGTGCGCTGGAGCCAACCAGCCAACTGATCGTAGGTTGGATCCCAAGGCAACTCGTGTGTGCAGAATGAACTTGTGCGCCAGCTTGACTTGGACCCTGGCGCTTGGCGGCTGAGCATGGCAGGGAGCATCATCTGCTGCTTGCCTTGCTGAGGAGGAAGAAGAGAAAGATCATATTGCAGGGCTGTGTCTGTGATCCCCCGGTACCAGCTCCCATGTGCGGGGTGGCTTTTGCCCTGTGCTGCAAGCAGTGCGCTCGAGAGATGCGACTCTTTTTTCACATTGCCACGGGTGCTGTCTCCCCCGCTCTCTTGTTGCAGTGCAGGTTAGTGAGGAATCATAAAACAGCTTGCTGAAGAAAGGGGGTTGCCTCTAGAAGCTGGGTTTTTGCAGATGCCGGTTTAAAGCACCCATCGGCTTTCTACCTTACCGCTGTTTTTTCCAGGAGATGCCACACCTCCTGAGGACACTGGGGACATCAGCTTTTTGCTGAGCTTAGCATCTTTCCACCGTCGTACAGAAGGCTTCAGACAGACGCTCATCTACCCTGAAGTAAAGAGCTGCAACAGCCACCAAGGGGCTTTTCTTCCTCTCTCAGTTCAATCCAGCCCCATTTCCAGACCTGGCTTCCACAGTCTGGAGAGCTACCCCTTTTCCCTGCTTTTCCGATGATGACTCACCATTATTTTTAACTCTGAAGAGAGGAAGTTATGGGGACTTTGGAAGCCTGTATTTCTCTCTAGGATTTCCCCAGAGTCAGATAATCTGTGTTACTAAGAGACACTGAGATTTGCTTCTCCAGGTAATGTGATTTGTTTTCTGTGCGCAATGGTCGTTTGCAGAGAATGAGATGAGAGGAGCCAAAACACAGATCTTGAGCAGGGGAATGCAATAGTCAATTTGCCAGCTAGCACAGGTGTTTGCAAATTAACTTAGCCACTAACCCCCTGGCTCGCTCTGAAGCAGAAATGTGTATATGCTGCAGCGTTTTGGCTTGCCATTTGATTTCCAGGGCAAAAAAATTGTGAATGTGTTTAACTTCAGATTGGAGGCATTAGTGTGTTCCTTGATGGTAACACTGGATTGCCTCGTATTGCATGGTTAAATGTTAACCCTTACTTGCATGGACAGAATTTATTTTGCCTTGCATTTGCTTCCTGTTGGCACTAAGAGTTTATTTTTTTGAATAGAAAAGCAGCTTTTTCTTGAAGGGTTTTTTTCCCCCCGTTCTTTTCTTTTTAACAAGTTGCAAAAAAAAAAAAAAAAGTTCTGTTTTGCCAATGCAAATGTTTTCCTTCGTGTTTTGAAGGGATATAGATTTTCTCAAGTGCTTTTTTTTTTTCTCAGCACTGGATCTTGAGGTGGGTTTTCCAACTCTGCACAAAGAGGGTAAACTAAAATCAGAAGGCAATGAGGTGTGTTCTAACAAAGGCGACCTTTAATACGTGCAACTTTATTTTATCTCTCTCTCTTTCTCAGCAGGGTAATTTTTTTTTTTTTCTGTTTTGATCATCCCTTCGCCTTTTCATGAACCACTTCCAAACCTACGTACCTGTCCTTCCACAGGATAGTAGCTTTTCCCTGAACCCGAATCTACCACCGGGCAATTGGAAGAGTTTAGATTAAAGATTCCTTGTAAACCTAAATATGACAGTTGCTACTGGAGACCCCACGGATGAAGCGGCAGCTTTGCCCGGTCACCCTCAGGACACGTATAACCCCGAGACCGATCATGAGTGCTGTGAGAGGGTGGTCATTAACATCTCGGGGCTACGGTTTGAAACGCAACTCAAGACACTCGCTCAGTTTCCAGAGACCTTGCTGGGGGACCCTAAAAAGAGAATGAGATATTTTGACCCTCTCCGGAATGAATATTTCTTTGACCGAAACAGACCCAGCTTTGATGCTATTTTGTACTACTACCAATCCGGTGGCAGGCTAAGAAGGCCTGTTAATGTGCCCTTAGACATCTTCTCCGAAGAGATCCGGTTTTACGAACTCGGGGAAGAAGCTATGGAGATGTTCCGGGAGGACGAAGGCTACATTAAAGAAGAAGAGAGGCCTCTTCCTGAGAATGAGTTTCAGAGACAAGTATGGCTGCTCTTTGAGTATCCTGAAAGTTCAGGACCTGCCAGGATTATCGCTATTGTCTCTGTCATGGTGATTTTAATTTCTATCGTGAGCTTTTGCCTGGAGACACTTCCCGTTTTTCGGGATGAGAATGAAGAAATGCATGGCGGCGGGGTGAGCCATCCTTCGTCCTCCGACAACAGCACCAGCAACCAGCAATCCACCTCATTCACAGACCCCTTCTTTATAGTAGAGACGCTTTGCATCATTTGGTTCTCCTTCGAGTTTTTGGTGAGGTTTTTTGCCTGTCCCAGCAAGGCTGGTTTTTTTACCAATATCATGAACATTATTGACATTGTAGCCATTATTCCCTACTTCATCACCTTGGGGACCGAACTGGCTGAGAAACCAGAGGATGGCCAGCAAGGCCAACAGGCAATGTCTCTGGCCATCCTTCGAGTTATCCGCTTGGTGAGGGTCTTCAGGATCTTCAAACTGTCCCGGCACTCCAAGGGGCTGCAGATCCTGGGGCAGACCCTCAAGGCCAGTATGAGGGAGCTGGGCCTCTTGATATTTTTCCTTTTCATTGGTGTCATCCTGTTCTCCAGCGCTGTCTACTTTGCAGAGGCTGACGAGAGCGCATCTCAGTTCCCCAGCATCCCAGATGCATTCTGGTGGGCAGTGGTTTCCATGACAACAGTTGGCTATGGAGACATGGTCCCCACGACCATCGGTGGTAAAATAGTGGGCTCCTTGTGTGCCATTGCAGGTGTATTAACGATTGCCTTACCAGTGCCGGTCATAGTGTCCAACTTCAACTACTTCTACCACCGTGAGACCGAGGGAGAGGAGCAAGCACAATACTTGCAAGTAACCAGCTGCCCAAAGATCCCTTCTTCCCCTGACCTAAAGAAAAGCAGAAGTGCCTCCACAATTAGTAAGTCGGATTATATGGAGATTCAGGAAGGTGTAAACAATAGCAATGAAGATTTTAGAGAGGAGAACTTGAAAACAGCCAATTGCACCCTAGCTAACACAAACTATGTTAATATCACCAAAATGTTAACCGATGTCTAGTCCAGAAAACCTATTAACATATTTAAAGCTGAAGTGGAACAATTGCAGATCTTGCATAATACCCTGCATTGTAGTTAATACAGTATGTTCTACAGTGTGTATTTGGTTCTGCATGGGAAGCAATAGTTGTGTAAGTGACTTTCTACCATTTTATTTATACGCCAAATAAGCTTTCATGCAACAATTGTTTTTGTCCATCACAGGCTTATGGGTTTCCAAAGATATGAAGCATCTGAGCATTTAGAGCAAAGTTATATCATTGCAATACCAGGGATATTGAACAAAAAGTTATTCCAGGAACCTCATGTAAACAGCAGCACTAAGAAATGTCAAGCAGACATGTAACATTTCGTTGCACTCAACACGTACAAAAATATATCCCACAGAAATAGTATGTGTCTCGCTTCCAAGCTTATGGAATTATATGAAAGGTCGTGCATAATTTAATTAAAGGGCCATACCTCCATGCGTCCAAATTACTTTAAGGTTCAGATTTCTGACTCAGAATTGCCAAGCAAGAGCACATCATGCAGGCTCAGGTTTCATAACTGAAAATGCTGCATGCTGCAATGGTTTCATCCACTGCAGTATATCGGTGTGAGACCCAAGGGAGGGACAATTAATATGACAGAGACCTTATTTTTAAGTCTTAAAATTTCTATTCCAGTCATAAGGAGGGACAAATCAATAAATCAAAGCCTGGATTTTATTTATTTATTTAGAGGACTCTTCCATTGTCACTGGTTCCAGGGTCACCAAAGACACATCCATTGACACTTTTGAAATGAGTTGAAAAAGCATCCTTTTTTCAATAAAACTGGAGCAAGTATGCTGTGGCCTATAATATATTTATACTGCAGTGAAAATTAATCAGTAATACAGTACAGCTGCATGGATATTTGTTGCATGAATCTTAATATTTAATACACACAAAAATATATATTTTCTTAGTAGACTATACAGTATTCATGTTTATAGTGTTTATAGATTCTCCAATGGTTTGAAGGAGATGTGTGGGAAAACAAAGGCTGGATCAGAGAAAGGCATGTGCTGGCTATAATCCGATGGATAAGCAAGGCAAAGGCGCTGTGTGCTCACAGTATTTACAGCCACGAGTGCAGAATGGTGCAAACGAAGGAAGGTGACCTGAAAGTGAGACACCTGTGCTCATCCTGTGGGGTCCGACTTGAAATTAATCTTAGCGTCATGAGCAAATTTCTAGAGTTACCCAGAGACGGTACAAAGGTGAAGGATTTTCTGACACTATTGTTCAGCACCCATAAGCTTTATTGTGTATTATCATATTGTATATATAGAGAGAGGCTGAGCCAGATCCTCAGCTAGCGTGAATCTGTAGCACTTCAGAACAACACCAGTTTACGCTATTTGGGGATTTGGCCTTGCGTGTGCAATATTCATGTGATGTGAATTTGGACTTTGGCTAAGTTTATGCAATGTAATACCAATACAAGGAAATGTATGGGTGAGATCAACTGTTGGTGTAAGCTGGCTGAAATGGAGCTAGACTAATTTACCCCAGCAGAGGAGGTGATTTTTGTGTGACTGCAATGCTGGGTTTAAGTGTTAAGTTTTGTCATGGAAAGCTATTGCCCTGTGATTGACCTCTATTACAATGCAGATACCAGATAGCCTGCTGCTTTGGGGCATGAAAATTCAACCCCTGCCCTTGCTTACATCTGCTGAACTCAGTTCGATCATACAGGTATCACTGAAGGCAGGTTCAAGCCTCAGGTCCTCTAAGGGCCCTTTGTTGTCAGTCAGTGGGGCAGAAGTTTTTCACGACCCCAGATCTTCATATTAATTCTACCATTTACAAATGCGTCCTTGCCCTAACTGTGCTGCAGCCTCAGGCAGCCTCTTCGGAGCCTTTCTGTGGCCACGTCTACACTGCAATCTGAGGTTTGATTGCAGCATAGGTGGGCATACTGGAGCTGGCTTTAATGTAGCGAACACAGGTAGCAATCTCAGTGAACCAGTGCACACAGGGATGTCAATGGTGGCTAGCCACCCAAGTAAGAAGCCAAGGTGCTGGACTCCTTTGAACTGTTTACAGCAGAGCCCAGGTCACTCCTAGTATTATGTCTACAGCTGCAATCCAGAAGTGTGATCATGAGCTAGCTCAGCACTGATCAGCTCGGGTCTCGGTAGCATTTTAGCCATGGCATCACGAGCTTCAGCATGTCTGCGTAGGCACCCCTGAGTAAGTATTCAGTGCCTGTGATGTCTATGCTGCTACAACTACACTGTCACTGAAAGCCCTGCTAGCAAGTTTAAAGTTAGTGTCGGTATGTCCACACTGCAATTACATCTCTGGATTTTAGCACAGATACCCTGTGACTTTACTGCTATTGGTGCCGGAGCTAGCAAGATTAAAACTACACTATGCAAGCCACAATCACATCTTTGATTGTACTGCAGATGTACCTCACATTGTTTTATTTCCAAGGGAATGCTGCCCACTCAGCCCAGAGCAGAGCTGTTTTGCTTAGGGTCAGATTTTTTTCACCCCAACTAAATAGAAAACTTCCTTTGAACTTGATGTGACTTTTCCCTGAGTGAGGGCCACAGGTGAGCTATATTCAGGTACAGAGACTTCATTTCCCCAGTCAGCTCACAGGTCTGGCCTGGAGTACATGTTTTATACTAACCTTCTGCCTCTGAGTGAATGTAGGGCTTGATCTTCAGACTGGCCTAGTGAGTCCTCAAACTGGACCAAATCCTAAAGTCTGTACTCTGTCTTTACTTTCCCACAGCCTCCTCTGCCCCAGGGATTTCAATGGGAATTTCTCCTGAGTAATGACTGTAGGATTTGTATCATTCCCTTTCCAGTCTCAGGCTTATTCAGGAATAGTTGGGGGGCCAAAAATTACCCCCCAAGAATGTTTCAAATGGATATTTGTTTCCCTTTGCCACATATCCCTCCTTATTGAATTCTGTTTTTCAATAGCTGCAAGGTCCAGGAGCAGAGCTGACAGGCTGAACAGCAGCAGGAGAGAAGCGAAATGCTTCTCCATTGATTAAACTCTTGGAAAGGTCTCTGAGAGAGAGCTGTGCAGTGAGATCTCAAGCAGCTAGTTGGTCATCTGTCTTCTGAGACCAACAACTGTTGACTAGATACAGGAACGCTAGTGCCAAATTTGTTTTGGGGCCCAGTCCAGCAAAGTACTGCGTAAGTGTTTAAAAAGAAGCACGCACTTAAGCAGTATGCTGAATTGGAGGCTTAGGGCTACATCTTATTTCCCATTGATGTACCTAGATGGGACACAGCTGTGTAAGTGCCCCAAACTGCAGGTGCATGGCTATGCACCTATATTTAGGTGCATAAAGGGGAATACGATTCAGCCTTTAGGCACCCGTCGACTTCAGTACAGGATCAGGCTCTTTGGCCTGATACAAAGCCAAGAGTATATCGAGGAAATTCCTGGCGTTTGTCACGTTTATAGATTGCCATGGCTGATGGGATTTATTCTGACATCTGCAAGTGCAAAAAAAGGGTGCTACTCCATTGGTCCACCTGCTGTACCTGTGGCAGGCTAGGGTGTTACATCCTGTGGTTGTGTCAGGATTGACGGTGTCATTTTGCTAAGAGGTTAGACAATGGATTTGTATGGGACAGGGGAGATCCTGCCTTAGGCAGGGGGCTGGAGCTGATGACCTTTGGAGATCCCTTCCAGCCCTACTTTTTTTTTCCTATGATTTCTGTGATTCCTACCCTGTTCTACAGTAGTGGATCAAAATACTGCCAGGGGCCTGACTCACCTCCTCTGAGCCAAATGGATTCGTTCCTTATTTGTAGCTGCGCAAATGAGGATAGATTGAATCAGCCCCAATAGCAGTGGTACTACAGGGCTTTGTGCATCTATCACATGGGCTCCCAACCCTTGTAAGGTGTAGATGCTGTCAACTGTAATGCATTTCAGTGGCACAGCAGGGTGCCGAGTGCTGTGTGGCCCTGGGCACCAGCACTGCATTGAATGCATTTATTTTGCTAAGGGATCCTTCTCCTTCACTGGTGCAGCTATGGGAAAGCATTTTTTCCTCTGTCTTCTTATTTGCACCAAAATATATATTTTTTTTACTTCTAAAATGCAATGAAAGAAAATCAAAAGCAATAAAAACTTTATTCAGGACAATGCTGTAGTATTGTATAGTAATGGTCCCAAACCAGCATCATTTGCACCTCTGTCAGAACTCCCAGCGAAGCCAGCATGAAGAGTATTCACAATAGGGCATAAAGGTGCACTGGAAATTCACCCCAGCTGGCTGTTCGCTAACTCCCTTGTGTAGACAAGTCTCAGAGCATCTTTGGCTCTCTTTACCATAGGACATTGGCACCTTTTGACCTCTGATGCATTTATTCTGGCAGCGCCCCTGTGAGGTTTAACTGTTTGCATGGGAAAGGGGGACGGGGGATGGGGTAAGAGCCAGGCTGTTATAGGTATACGTATAGGTGCCTAAAGATGCAGATCAGCGTGTAGTGGAATTCTCAAAAGTGCCTGAGTCCTTAACTCACTGATTTCAAAGTAGGTGCCCACTGCATCTTCAGGCACTAAATACCTTTAAAAATCTGGCTCTACATGACTTTCCCGAGGTCCTGAGGATATTTGAAAAACAGTGGGTAACATTTGCAGAAGTGCCTAAATCCCATTGACATTCTGACTCCTAAGTCAGGTAGGTAGTTTTGAAAGTGTTTACCCTGAACATCATGTACAATCCTGCAGGAAGCTGGCAGTGGAACAGGGGAGTGAGCTCAGGTCTCAGACGCATATTAACTTTCTGACAGTTAAACTGGCTTCACGTTTTAAAGTCAGAGTGTCAGAGCATACACATGTACGTGGAGCAGAGTTGACTTAAAAGCGACACAAGATAATACACCTCTGAGGTATATTATCTTGAATAGCATTAGTTAAGTCAACGTAGCTCATAAGATGGCTGCCACCAAGTCAAGGGGTTGTATGTGTATATGGTCCGACATGGCTTAACTTAAGTTGACTTAGTTAAATCACCTTATTGTAAGTCAACTTAGTATTTGTGTATGCACCCCTGAATTTCAGACAAGTGTCCTGATGATGGACAAGTCACAAGTCACCAAGCTAGACACTAATTTCAGGCACCACGATTTTAGGATGCCCATTCTCAGCGCGTTCCCTTTCAGTGTGTTCTTACAGTCCTTATTCAGATGGAGCTTGCACTGATGTGGAGAAGTGCTGCATGGATGAATTTCATCCTTGTGTTGAAGACCAGTGCAGAGTCTTTCCCATTACTTTTCAGGGGGCTTAAGTGGAACTTGAAAGATCTTGTGCTGGACCTTTTTATAAAAAATGAATTTGAACCTATGCGAGTAGAAACTAGGAACCGCTTTTTTAATTTTTTTTTTTTTTTTTGCCTGAGTCAAAACTGCAGGCTTTGGTCTAGGAGGGGGGCTATTGAAAGCCACAATGTTTTGGGCCATTACTGTAGAATGCTGATGTATAATGTGTAAGGGGTATCCCCGACGAATGTACGTGGCTGTCCTTACATGCAGTTGCACCTATCAATGTCCATCTTTTGCTACAGACAAATGACCCGTTTGGGATAAAACGCTCATTTGTCCAAACCTTCAGCCAACAAAAATCCTGAACCGTGCTTCCTACCAAACACTGTAACTTTCAAAAAAGTTGGGTTAACTTTAAAGTAACTTTCACTGCAACCAGCAGTGATGAATTAATCCTTTCTAATCAGCTGTGGCCAAGACTAAATATATTGCCATCTAGCCCAGAGCACCTCAGGCATGAAAAATTATATGTGGCTTGTGATCTGCTCTGGGGAGACCGACATAGGCAATGGCACAATTTGGAAAAGCAGCCACATGCCAGAGATATACAAGCATGCACAATGGGACCGGGTGTTCAGAGAATGCTCACAGTTTTTAGTGGATTCACTGGGAACAGTGTCTTTATGATCACAAAGGCTGCTGAGATCTAATAGGCTACAATAAACTACAGCAAGCAGGAGGAATCAAATTTACCTTAGCCTTGAGAAGAGGACACTTCTATTAACTTGTGTGCGGCTTGTGCTTACAGGCCGAGAGCTGTAGGTGCTGTTGGCTTCGGACTCTCTCATGTCGCTTGGAACAAGTTGTCAGAAACGATCTTGGCAGCCTAGTTGAGGCCTGATTTTCAGAGACATCAGACAACCACAGTTCTCCTTGACATCAAATGGAATTGAAAATCAGATCTGAGGTGTCTCAGAGTGGGCATCTTAAAACTGTGGTGGCCAAATTAGTGTCTAGCTTGGTAACTCGTAACTTGTCCAAAGCCATAGTGAGAGGCAGTGGCAGAATCAGGATTAGCATGGAGGTCACTTTCTGACACCCAGCCCTGATACTGAAATCACTAGGCGACATGCTATCTCTTTAATGCCTTGAATGATTGGTGATGAGGGCACCCATATAGAGCTGAATGTATTGGTCAGTGTCTATCAAATTATTCTAGTTGTCAGGAAAAGGTATCTGTGCATAGATATAACTGTGGTTATAGGATTTATCAGGGGTACTTCTCTCTGCAGCTCTGTTTTTATGTCTAAGGCCTACACAAATACTAATTTTATGCTATACCAGGAAAAAGATCCCAAGATTGGTTGAGTAGAGCATGTGGGTGTATAAATATGGGCATATTTGTGCATAAATACACAGAAGGAGAGAAAAAGACAGCGGAGGAGGTATTTCAGGAAGGGTCTTGTATTATTACCAGATAATCCTCCTAGGTCATCCATTGAAATTACTGCCAAAATCTTCTAGCCTTTCTGGAGTTTGCAGTACATTTAGAGATGGGCCCAGACTGAAAAACTGATCCAGATCTCAGCTGCAAATGGGTGAGATGACGCTCAGGAACCAAACATCACCCCTTCTCAAAACTACAAGTGTTTGAATTCCAGTTTTGCAGATGTTCCTTTCCTTCTCCTTTCTCTTCCCCTCCAACTAAAACATCAGGAGATCTCTGATCCGGAGCCAAAGTCCATGGCTTGGGCCCATTGCTAGTATTTATGCTACTATGCAGGGGGAGTGGAACTATTCCTAAGGGATTTGTTTGTATTTAAGATGCAGTCTTTGTGGGATGTGCTATTCTCTCTCTTTTTCTCTCTCTCTCTCTATCTTTCTCTCTTTATTACAGTTGTGAGTATCAATCCCATGAAATGTTAATGGCTTACAGGTCCCAGAGCCCTAGAAAGATGGGCTCTTTTCCCCATTCCCCAGATGGAGCAGGACTTATGGCAGACTGTGGAGCAAGGTACTGAAGAGTGTGGAAACAGCACGCACAACGTGAGCTGAGGAGAGGCAATATAAGGGATTATGTCCACCAGGGAAGCCCGTGAGCTTCCCCGCTCCATGCCCTCTGCCCTCCCCAAAGGTGTGTGGACCATGTATGGGCTCAGTGTAGGACCAAATGGTCATCTGCCATACTGGTGGAAGGTGGCCTGGAAGACATGAGATGTACCTTTGGCTTGGTATTCACCAGGGATCCTGAGATGCAGCATGAATAAGAGACTGTGCTCCTTCCTGCACCTTGTCTCTACTAATCTCTTCCTTATAGTCACGGCCTCTTCCTGTTTTCAGAGCTCCTTCCTTCTCTCTGGCAAGCGGTTGTTGCTATTAAAATTCATTGTGTTAGAGGACCCCAAGCAGGGATCAGGGCCCCGTTGCGCTAGGCACTGTCCAACCAAACAACACAAAGACAATCCCCACCACAGAGAGCTGACAATCGCCGCCCCTTGGCCTCAGTTCATTTTTATGCTAATCTGTCCATCACCGCTTCAAAGCAAACCCTACACTGCTTTTGTCTAAGTTCAATGCTGCACCCTCCTTTCTCCCCCAGTGTCCAGTGCAGCGTAGTGACCGCATTCGACCAACAAAATCACCTCTTGTTTCTCACTGCAATAGAGACGTGGTGCTCAAAATTCAGGGTCCGCAGGCCACTTGAGTGCCATGGGACAAATCCGTTGGCTGGATCCCACGCGTGGGGTTGGTCTGAGGGTGTGATCTGGTGCATGCGCCCACACCTGCACACTAGATCTGGCTGCTTATGCCATCCTGAGCCCATGCGCTGGATCTGGTCATGTGCCAGCTGGCCCCAAACCCGCTTGAGCCCACGCGTGTGCCAGCCTGACCCTGCACAATGGCCCCACCATGTGTGGTGCAATCTAACACACAAGGCCATGTCTTCCAGCCTGGGGGGTTCTTCATGGGTCCAGAAATTGCAAGGGGAGCAGCAATTAACACTGCCACTGCTCTCCTGCTGCCAACGTTTTGGCCCCGTGGGAAGACCGCCAGGCAAGATGACATGGCCTCCAACACCCCTGCATTAGAGCATTCCTGAAACCTTCCATCTGCAGTCACAATCTCAGTCGTCACCTTTGCCTGGCACTGAACATCCTCAATTCCTGAGACAGGAGGAGGAGCTGCAGGTGCTCTGGTCATGCGACTTCGGGCTGGATCATCAGCAGATGTCAATCTTCACCGATTTACC